AGACTTATTCTGAACACAAATTTTGTTCAACTGGAATTGAGTTACCTACGCAATTTTCATTTCAGCTGATTTATGTGCTGCTAGTCTTAATTGTAGACATATACGTATTACAAAATATATTAGGCGATTTTTCGAATTTATGACTAAGTGTTTAGGAAAGTTTTTTTTTTTTTTTTTTTTTTAAAAAAAAAAGCTTAGCTTACCTTGTCCTGGATGTGCTGGACCAAATGCTCGAAAGTATTAACAAAGTTTTGCTTTTACAGCAGCTATTTCATGTTTTAATATATTTTTATTGATCATATATTTTTAAAAAAATGTGCTTTGATTCAAAACCTGTAGAATTAACATTTGAGGCTGCTGATGGTCATTTTCTGCCTTCTATTAGTCGATTTTATAATAAGAAATTTCCAAAATCGCGTTCTAGTCATTTTTTATAAACCCAAAACAACAAATAATAATCAATGCCTTTTTTCTCTGTATTTGGCTACATTGAATTTTCTTCTAGAATGTGAGAGCGAATTAATATTCAAGAAAAAGCTTTGAGAGAATGGTTAGCGGAAAGCAGATTCATTTTTATTAGAGGCGCAGCATCGGCCGAGCTGTAAGATTGCTAAACATTGGTAGTTTGATGATTTGGATTCAGTCTAGGCGAAATACTACCACGTGAAAGCTACGTGAAGAGTTTTCTTGATTTTTCTAATGTGTAATATGAATATTGGAGCTTTCCCTTAGAAAGTGCTCCACGAAGGGACTGATTGCCTTTATGTGCTTTCTCGTGCTTAAGTAATCTGGTCAATGCAATCATTTTATTGAAAACATCAAGAATAAATTACATAATTTAAAGCGTATGAGTTGTTAATTATTAAGTACATTAATTTACTTTTTTTTTTTTTTTTCCAGTTGTTCGAAGTACCCATCTGCTACTGATAAACATCGTCAGCTTTAATTTCTCTCGTTTCTGAATCGATAACTAGATGTTTTTATATTTTGAAAAGTTTTAACTTTATGATTTGCTATCTGATAATTTGTAAGCCTAATTTTTAATATCGTCTGCTTCAGATCTAGAACAGTGATATTTGATGGGAACAACGTTCCCTTCCTTTCGTTCCGAGTTCTTCCTCTATAAATAGAAATATTTTAAGTGGCGTGACGTAAATATTACATATGGCTGAGTGCTGCGGATGTTTTTAACTTTGCTGCTTTATTTAACGCTGTAATTTTACAAGTTCCTGGTGGAAATCTGGCTGATGAGCAATAACGCTTGTTTGCTTTCTTTCGCATGTAATTTGTTTTTTTCACAGGCCATTACTTTTTTAATCTTAAGTGACCTTCTATCTGTAGTTGCTTGTTTTGATAATAAGAAAATGATAGACCACTTTTAGATAGTATATTTAATTTAATATGGTTTTAAATCTAAGTTCTCATCAATTTCATTTGAAATTTAGTCAGTGTGCTAACTTCATATAACATTAAGTCAATTGAACCTTAAAATTCATGTAAATGTATCATTCAGTTTTAATGAGAAAGTATTTAGATTCCAGAATTACGTGTAAATATTTCCTTTAATTCATGTATAAATGCATTTTTCGTTACGTCAGAAAATTCAGTTTATCATCAACACATTCTGATGATAAAACTGAATTTTCTATATTTATATATATCATTACCTTTTTTTTATTTAATGGGTTGAAATAATATTCAATGGAGCTTAAAATTTTTCTGTCACTACCGTTTGTTAGAGGAAATCGTGTATTAATAATGTCATTCTTCATTGAGCTGTTTCTATTATACGAGTAATTAGCTCTTTCCAGCAGCTCCATGGATCACACATTCAAACTCATGTGAAACATAAGCCTGACTTTTAAACTGTATTTCCAAGTTGCTCTGTAATTAGAGTACTAACAATGAATAAAAAGTCTAATAAAAGATTATTCTAAAATTAATTGTCATTAGTATTTTTTAAAGGAACTGTATTGTTTTCCTTGGTTGTAATTGTCTTATTTTTGATGAATAAATAAGTAAATAAATAAAAAGAGTGAGAGACAGACTTGTGTTAAGAGATGTGGTTCTAGAAATAAATAATAATTGTTGTCAGTCAGATGCTTGCAGTTGCGTATCAAATACCACTTAGAAATTAAATGTTAAAATTCTTATATTTAAATGAAGTTCTAGTTATGTTAACTAAGCAAATTATGTGACTACACTCTGATTACTCAAAACTAAAGTTTTCTGTGCTATTGATCCACAATTTAAAATAAACATCTCCATCACCTAGCGTTCCCACCTCTTGGCTTTCAAAATCCGGGAAAGGAAAAAAAGGTTTCTGGCAGAAGAAAGAGTAGTTTTTTTTTTCAGTCGCAACTGAAAAAAACTCCGCTTCCATAATCTAGTTAAAAAGTATTTTTTTTGAGCTGCAGGAGCAAGCACGCTCTCGCAAATAATTATACATTTTGTTCTACCACAAAAATCGTTTTTGCCGAAGAAGAATCTGAAAAAATGCTATGCAGTTTGTGCAATCCTAATCCTGGCTATTAAAAGTGTGATGGTGCTTAATCCTATGATAGACTGAAGTAATTTCAATTGCTGATATATTGTCTTGTTCTTCTGAAGATTTCTTCACGAAAAGGTTCGAAACCGATTGCAATGAATCCATATTCATTATTAACGACTGGTGTTTCTTGCTTTGGAAATGTACAGTTAAAGCTCTAATATCCTCACACTTAATACAGTACAAAGTCCTTAATCCGGACTCGTCGTGACTTCGCCGATTCCCGATTAGGGGTTTTTCCGGATTATAGATCATCAATTTAAATCTGGTAAGATGGCATGCAGAAATTATAAAATTAAAAATATGAAACCGTAATTTATGAAATAAAGAGCAATTATGATCTAAAGGGTACCAAAATTTACAAAAAAAAAAGCTTAATATTTATTTGTTTACTTTATTAAACATTCCTTTCAAAGTAAGTTGTTTAAGTTGCTTCATTTTATGTGCTAATACTTTCTCTTTAATTCTATAAACAGACATAATTTCTTGTTCAGATCCACTGTTTCAAGTCCTGTAATTGCTGTGTCGAGAATGCCAACTAACTTGTCAATCGAAATTTTTTCGTTTTCAATAACGTCTTTGTCACTTTCTTCACTGTTGGAAGCGGTACATCGAAACATGCTTTCGCTTTGTAAATCCTTTGGCAGCTCTAGAATCGGAAACTCTTTTTGACATAATTGAAAGTTCAAGCTTACTTCTTATAAAATTGCTCTAGTCTGCAAAAAATAATAAGCTAGATCCAATTAGAAGATTAAGGAACAACGCAATCTACAGCATTAACTGAAATAGAAAATTTTAGCCTAGCTTATACCGTCCATTATACATTAAACACGCATGCGTAAACATATTATGCACATGCGTACAGGTATTATGCGCATGTGTAAACGCATTAATGCTTTTATGCATGCGCAGAAAGTTTGTAGCTTTGAGGTCCGTATTAAAGACTTTGTACTGTATTAACCGTTTTTCAACATACTTTACATTCTCTGTTAAAGTTGTCTGTCTTCATAAGCTAATCAAATTAAGTTAACCACTTGTCTTGAAACGACGTCGAATATTTTGCCTTTTTTTTTTTTTTTTTTGTGGCACTTGTTCACTTGCAGAATCAGAATCTTTTTTTTTTTTTTTTTTTTTTTTACTAGACATTATTATGAAAGCATTTAAATAATTTCAAAATACGCACTTGTTTGTGGATAGCTAGCTAATTGCAGACTAAATGAAAGAATGGATTTAAAATGAGAGGGTGAGAGAAGATGAGGGCGGGTGCGTGCGATACGCTGAAACCACTACTCATCCCATAAGGCTTACTCATTGCTCACTGTAGATCGCTGCTGCAAAGAATATGTATTGACATAGGCGTTCTTTACGTTCATAGACGGTAGTGGGATTTTCGATGCTCTGAACCATTTCATCCGTGCGCATTGTGTCGTTATTTTCGATAAACTTGATATTCCGGGAGAGTAATATTTATTTTAAATTCCTTCCGAAAGCCAGGAGATTTTAATTTCCACGACTCAATGTCGGGAGAATCCCTGAATTCCGGGAGAGGTGGGAACCCTACCATCACCTCCTGCTTTTATGATGTATTAATAAAGAGTTTTAGAATGGTTAGACATAAGCATTAGTAGCTTAGCTTACTTATTTTTACTAACAGTTAGTTACACATAACATACGGTAGCAGTATAAGGCTATTTTCTTCCTTCTTAAAGCATGCCTTCATTAGCACACTCAGCACATATTCAAGAGATCCAGGATCGAGACCTGGTGAGGGCATTCCACATTTTTTTTTACTCTAGCATCGAACAAATATAGTATGTCTACATTGACGCCTGAAGTAAAAAGGGGTGGATGAAGATGCTTTGCCACCAGGATTTGATGATTGGGTCCCCTTATCCCCATTCACCATTAAAATGAGAATATATAAGGTATTTGCTCCCTTCTTTTAGCATGCCTTTGTGGTGTAACAGTTAGCTCATTCAGCATGTATTCCAAGAGGTCCAGGTTCGAGTCCTGGCGAGGGCATTGCTCATTTTTCACGTATCCTGCCTTGAAAATAACCTAATGACTCTACAGCAGGACATAATGACAATTACAGTTTTTTAAAGTCTTTAGGTTAAAGATCTTGTGCATAGTGCATAGCATACTGTGAATTTCTATAAGATAATAATGTATGGCATATAGCTGTTACAGTTATTTTAACAACTTCAAAAGTGACTAGAAGAGTATATAATTTCAGTTAACAGCTTCATCCATTTTGCTTAAAGAAATTTTTGAAAATTATGAGTAATGCTGTAATAAATTTTATAAAAACATTTTGCAGTTTATTTTCTGTTTAATCTTTTTTGTGTTAAAATTATCTTTATTAATTTTAATAAATTATTAAAAATTATTCTTTATTAAAATGATTAATCTTTAAATTATTACAAATTTTAATACATATTTCTTCTTTTAGTCCAAAATGGCAGGTGTTACCAAAGGACCACCGCTATGATTTTCTGCTGGAAGCTGAACTTTCGCATTACTTCAGCCCTTTGAAAAATGATTTAAAAGTGACATCCGTTGCTCAGTTAAAATATGTGGAAGAAGATGATCTGATCCAGTTGGGGATGACTAAACCTGAAATGAGAAGATTGAAAAAGTATTTTCAGAAGTATTGCCCTCATACATATCTGCGCAAGATCAAAAAGGTAATCATAGTTTCTTTTTTTCTATTAAAAAAAAATAATTTTGTAGTTTTTTATATCTATTACTATCAGCTACGTGGCCAGCCGCCTTTGTCTGGCTTTTAAATGTACCAGAAAAATGCCTGAAGGGAACACCAAATGTTAAATTTAAAAACTGCACAGAATTTTACTCTGCAGAACAATTCATCCCCCTTATAAAAGAAACTACACCATAAGCATTTTCAAAGAAAGTGTCTGATTGCACTTTTGAAACATTTGCAGCACCAAATCATATTGGGAAAATTTTGAGTGAAACATTGCTCCAATGAGTCTTAAGCAGAATTTAGTGGTGCTTAGATGGGAGCGAGTGCTGAAAAGATGAAACAAGATGCTTCCTAAAGACAGTTAATATTTTTATGGAAAGGAATTACACATCAAAGCAATAGCATTTCCTTGTCACTTTCCACTTTGCCATGCACATGCCTTTGTACAAATACAGTAAAATTGAATTAAGTTTTTGTCTGTTTAATATTGTGTTTATATTTTTTGTTTTATAGTTAGTGATACTTCTGATTCTTTTAACCACTTGCGCTACGACTAAACTCCACGGTTGCGGTGCTGTGCGCTACAATATAACAAGCGGTAAAGTGTCTCATTTACGCCGCTCTGCGTCTGCAAGTGCAATCCAGAGCTATAATTCTAGAATAAACAATCTTGTTGTTAGGCGACTTGTGCACCACGTTATTTTCGTTTTTTCGATAAATGCCTATCGACGTGGTGTTCACGTCAATCGCGGTTTGAGACAAAAGCATCTCGACGTGCGTGGCACATCTTTTTAGTGCAAGTGGTTAAATAATTCCTTTGGTTTAGATTTAGGAACTTGTGCATAAGGTACTCTCTGAAAGTTTAAATAAGCTATCATAGTTGCTCCAGGAATGAATCTATTTTACATTAAAATTCCTATGGCAAAAATTGTTTCAGTTTACGAACATTTAGCTTTATGGACGGTCTTCTGGAATGAATTAAATTCACAAACTGAGGTTTCACTGTAATAACAGAGATGACAAATTGCATTTATTACTTTTAAATCACTTAGTTTGTTCATCAATAACAGACAGATTAAATTTAGGAGAAAAATTAATTAACACTTCCTCAAGTAGCAAATACACTGGAGCATGGGGGGGGGAATTATTTTGTTTCAGGCAATAGCTGTGCCTTCTTTTAAATTATTAAGTTTGTCGATTGAATTTTGAAACCAAAATCTTATGTTTTGCTTTTAAATTGCAAATTTTTCTGATTGAATTTGAAAAACTTGTGTATCTTATGCTTGTTAATTCGAATTTCAGTAAATTTACGCAAAATATGATTAAATTAAAAACAAACTAAGGTCTCTTCTGGATCGCTTATGAGGGAAAAGCTGAAAACTTACTCTAATATGACAGCAAGGATTTTTTTGTGTTTTAAAAGTGATGTATTAGCAGAATACAGATCACAGCCAGACAAGTTGGTCAGCATGATGATGTCATCATGCCTGGACAGGAAATCTAGAGGACACATGCTCCATTCCCAGGTGGTACTTTTAATGTCCTAACACAGATTAAAAGTTCAAGCCTCCGAGGTGGTCCGAGAGGGCGCCACCTCACTCGGCCATCCCAGGGAGATTTCACATGTCAGACATCATCTGTCTGCATGTGTTGACTGAGAGGCACCACTCCTCCGGACAGCCTTCAATAATATCTGACAATATAATGTCCCCACAAATAAGTTCACAAACAAGACAATACCAATACAGTCCCTGCCAAGCCAGAACCTACAACCAAATAAACGATGTCTCTAGTCCTCTGAAGACTGATTATTTACCTCAGAGGTCGAGGTTGTCTTGACATAGATCTAGCCAGTTGTGTGGATAGAACTCCAGGTCTCCTCCCATAAATGGTCATAACACTGAATCATACTAGACAGGAGGCAGTTGAGGAGACTGTATGACAATTGATTCCTGTCCTGCAACAAAGCAGTTTTGAACTTATGTATGTTGCTTGGAGAACAATGGCAAAATGAAATTGCCTTCCCAGAGCTTCACAGATGTTCTCTGTAGGGTTAAGCTGCGTTCACACCAATGCAGTCACGTGTTCACGCGTAAAGTGTTAACCAATAGGAAGCGAGTTCAGAGGCAACATTTGCTGGATGGCTGGAGACTGCGTGAGTTGACTTAACTTCAACTTTTTTACCCTTGATGCATCAGTTTCAGGCATCTCGTTTTAAATGTCCAGTTTATACCATGGTTTTTAAATGATTGCACTTTCAAAAATTCTTTCTTCTTGATGGAAAAAAAGTCAAATGGGCTAAGCTTAACCCTGCAGTGCTCGCGTGACATATTGTTGCGTTAAAGTTCGCGCGGCGTCTAGCAGACACCAGGTATATTTTTGCTGTACTAATATATATTTAGGTTATTCAACTCAAATTTATGAATGCAAAGGGATTATTGAAATAACATGCATATATTTGTGGTATCTTATTACAAACACAAATAACAAAACTTCAATTTACAGTGAGACTTAATTTTATTCAACTTAACTCAAATACAAATGAAAAATACAAGTGAAATTCTCTCATTTAGTTAGTTACATAAACTAACAATCAACACATATTTGCTGAGCATTTTCTAAACATAAAAATGTTTACAACTGCAGTATTTGTACTTGGTATACCTGTTCTTGTAACGGCCACATTCATGACATCTCTGCCTTTTAGTAGTTCAAGCCTCTATTGTAAGTTGAACTGTACCCTCATCTGGGAAAATGCTCTGAATATCCTGCTTGAGATTTCTAGGTAATGATTAACATTGAGAATGTCTACGCAAGGTAGCTTATGTAGAGACATTGAGAATGTCTCTACATAAGCTAGCCAAGAGTTTTAAAAACTCACTGTGCCTGGTGCTGATTGATAAGTTATTTGCATGATATATTATATGACCATAGGGCATCTGTTTGTTTTCCTGGCGATTACACAACTGGTCAACTTCTGATTTAGTTGCGTTATAAAAGGCTATCATCTGTGGCTTGTTTTTTCACATTATTCATCAATTACATCATTATGATGCATAATGTAGAGAATCAGAACTACCTTGTTTTCCTTAGTTACATAAGACATTAGGGTCATTCTGAAACCCAAACAATGATGTTCCTACTTCCTGATTCTTTGTATGTGTAAACTCTGGAGGAATTTTGCTCTTATTCTTTCTCATAGTCCCAACAAAAGTAAGATTATTTAAGCAAAAAATCGCTATTGTCGAACCTCAAATAATATGAAAGGAACCTAAATCGTTTTTCAGACATTATTAGATGTCATAACTCAACACCCATTTTATCAGAGGACCATATCTCCTTGGTATTTGCATGATTGTCCTTTCTAGAAGCACAAATGTGTAATACGCCTAGAAATGCTTTTATTTGAATTATGTCGGTCAATTGGGCATCCCTTTCCCGAGAATAATTTTCCTGTACTGTGGGCATCTTTTCATTTGTGAACTTAACTATATTAGATAGCATGCCATTGTCGAAAAATTATGCCAACATTACTCCGGCTTTCGGGCATTTTTCTGCTTTGATAGGTCTTGTTTACATTTTTTATACTTCTGTAATATAATTTTGTACCTCAACAATATCATGTCCATTCTCATTTTATTTTATAACGATCTGTTTATCCTTCACAGTCCTGATTTGAAATGAAATTAAAAAGCAGACATGGCAGAGGCTGTATTACATAATAAAGTTCTTTAAGTGTCAGAAAACTTGTCTTGACACCCCTTTCCCATTTCAGTGTATTATTAAAAATCTGTCGTATGTTTTTCAAACAATCTCATGCATTTGTTTCATTGTCTTTGGTTAAGTTACAGAAAATAGGTATTATAAATCAGTAATGGATTAGAGATTTTGTAATGCTTTTTATAATTTTAGTTTACAGTAGAATTAAAATATATTTTCATGCTTATAAAATATTTTAGTCATTAATTTATGCTGAATAATTTATCTCTTAAAACCTATTAAAAATTCTTATTTTGCAGATGATATTGCCCAAAAATAAGGATGACTGTGATAGGACTTCCATATATTTCAATGATAATACAACAGAAAAGAATAATATCAAAGTGCCCAGCAAACACATCATACCAAAAGATAATATTGTAATTAATAAAGAACTTGGTGTTGGTGAATTTGGTGTTGTACAGCAAGGTGTATGGACTAATGAAGATGGAGAGAGAGTAAGGTTTTTACTATATTTTATATACAGCATCTTGAGTTAAAGTCAATGAGCAAAAATTCAACTGGGAATTTCCAAAGTCAGCTGATTTCTTATTTCCAGCTCGAAAGTTGTACTTAGGGCTTTAATAAACCCTAGATTACCATAGCTATAATATGTTTATAAAAACATTATACAAAAACTTTTGTAGCTGTGTAATATTTTTTATAAACATATTGTACAGCTGTAAAAGTTTTTGTTTTATTTCAGGTTCTAGTTTTCAATTTTGAGATAGATTGTTATTCTTTCTCATGAAACCAGTCATTGGTTTTCTTCTTTTCTCTTGAAAAGTGTATTTTTGACAAAACAGGATTATTCTTCAGGGCTGTTCATACACTTTTATATATATCCATTTTATCCATTAATTTTCTAGGTGAATTCCAATAAATCCAGCCATCAACAAAATGATCTTTGTGTTCTGATGGAGTTTGCTTTTTGATTTAGTCAGTGATAATAAGGTCTTTCAACTAATCAAAATTATTCAGTTTTCATTCTGAAAGCCATCCCTTGAAGAAGCTTTTGATTGAAAAGTCCTACCAACTGTTATCAGGCATAACAAAAACATTATATCTAAATTTGTCAGTACTTATTTTGAACCCTTTCAATAATCCTTAATATGTGAGTATTTTCAGATCCTTCTTCTGATTCTCATGCAATAAATTTTGCAGTATTATTGTGTAGTATCCAATTAAATATGTTACCCTTCTTGTTTTGGATACTCTAAAAAATTCAGTTGCCTTTCAAATACATTTTTCATCAAAATTAAAGAATATTGGTGGAAATAAAACATAACTGTTGCTTATTGAAGAATGATTAAATACAATTTGTGCAACAGCATTATTTAACACAAACTGTCTTGTTTTCCAGTTGAATAAACTCAAAAATTTGAATTTAAAGTCAAATTAATGGAAATATAGTGTGTTTTATAATAAATCTTTTTTTAGTATGATGCGTGATCACCTCTGAATGAAATGCAAACCTCGTATAATAATATTGATTTCAGTGAATTTCCAAACTGTTGATAAAAATATTGTAGAACTATATGTCACTCTTCTGATACTGAAGCTACTTGATGCAGAGGGTCATTGTAATCCATTAGCAAAAAATTCTAGGCAGCCTTAAGTTTAACTAACATCCCCTAACAGCCTTAAGTTTTTAAGATGTCATCCTCATATCTGTAGCTTGTTATGGAACCTGCATGAAAGATATATTGTTTGATGCTGCCATTTTTAACGATTGCACGGCAAACCATGAAACTGCTTCCACAGATATGGCATCTTCTATGAACAAGAGAAGGGAAGCTGTGTATTCCTTTCTGTCAAAATCAAAACATATCTAGAATTGCAATTTCAAGCTATATCTGGATTCGTCAATAAAGAATACTTGCTCTTTTCCTCTTGGCTTTATTGGCATGACAATGACACTACTTTAAATAGGCCTTTTTGGAAGATGAAGTGAGTGAGTCAAAACTGCTGGTTTTTTGGCATAAAGTTCATCAGCCTTTATGGAATAGTGGAATGGCTGCTTCAATTTCATGTTGTAGCCTAAAAGTCTGAAACCAGCTATTTCCAAATTTCTTCATGGTTTCTTCTAACCGAACACAAAATGGTTTTCAAATGCAGTTGTTACACTTGGTTGCCCTCAGCTGGGGTTGCTTATTACTTAAATAGTTGTAAATGACACTTGATATGACACTTTGAGGAATTTTCAGATCTTTGGTTATTTCCTTCCTCTTCTTTGTCAATTAACTGCCAGTTTTGCTCTTTTTGGTGAGGCCATAACTAATAAATATTAAATATTCATATTTATAATAATAAATATTACATTTTGAAAGCCACATTTATTTTAAACAGTCCTACACACCCAAATTCCAGCATGTATCCTTTGAATTGTCGATGGAATAATTTGCATATATTATATGTTAACTCATGAGTAGAAGCCTAATTTTACTTTCAATTGCAGGTATTAGCATAAATAATTACATGATTTCCAATGCATGATACATCATTTTTTGGATCCAAACAAGGGATCAATTTATTGAGTTCCTTATTTTGCTCTCTCTCTCCTCTTTTTTTTTTTTTTTTTTTTTCTTTAAGTTTTTGAAAATTTTAAATCTTGTCCTATTGCCTTACCCTTTAAGTTAGAATCCTAAAATTTTGCTCAAAACCCTTAGCCAGGAAAGGCATTGTGCTCCCTGCCATAAGACAGACTGCTCCCTGCCATAAGACCTTGAGCTGCTCTGTCCTTTCTTCTTACCTTTGTTTAGAATAGTTAAGACATCAAAAGCTTAAATTTAACCCTATTTTTATTTAAATCATCATAGGGTATGTAGTTTGTAGAGAATCTGAAAGAATAATTAGGACGAATCCAGATATAGCTTGAAACTGCAATTCTAGATATGTTTTGATTTTGACAGAAAGGAATACACAGCTTCCCTTCTCTTGTTCATAGAAGATGCCATATCTGTGGAAGCAGTTTCATGGTTTGCCGTGCAATCGTTAAAAATGGCAGCATCAAACAATATATCTTTCATGCAGGTAATTATTCTAAATTACAATAAACTTTGACATAAGGAAATTTCAAAGAGTATATAAATTTAGTGGGAAACTATGCTTATACAGATCACAACATAATAAATTTAGAATTAAGAAAATTAGTGGGCTTAAATTCAAGAATCCAGTAATAAATAAGAAATACTTTACAAACTAACTTTTAACTGGCCACATTTCAGAAAACTCATATTTCAAAAAATTAATAGCCAGTGATAATTATTTCATTTGTAATTTCAAACCTTATTATAAATAAATGTTACCATTCATAATACAGTCCAAAATCACATAGACGAGTAATTGATTTCATTTTGAATCAATGTAGTGTATCTTCATCTATTTAATCATATTATACGAAGTACATTTACTTTAACTAGATGCAACATTTTAATAACTTTTTAACAAAATAAGAGTTCCTAATTAAATTTAAATATATTGTATTTTCTTTAACTAAGAACTTTAACTTTCTTTAATTAAGATTTTAAAATTAGAAAATTGAAAAAACTAATAACAAAAAATGAGTGATTTTATTACAGGTTTTGAAAAAATACCTGTTATGATTCAATTTTAAAATCATTTTGTTTTTTAAGACCTTAATTGTTTAAAACCAAACATTTGGACAGTGTTCGGTTTTAAATAATTAAAGTCTTCAAGCAAAAGTCAGTTGTTAAAATATTTGGTTTGAATCTGAGCCATGCAGTAATTATATTATTAAAAATTTAAATAAAAAGATGAAGCTTAAATTTGAAGTAATGTGGTTTCATTTGCATTTTATTTACTTGGCATAGAATTTAAACACTATGATATTACAGTTCTTAATGCTTTAAAAACACTAAAACACAAAACATGATTCAGTACTTATCCTAAATAATTATGAACCATAACTGCTGTACACAAATGTATATATGTAATATTTGCAGTAGATTGCATTGGAAATGATGAAGCTTAGCAATCTGGACACATCAGGGACCAGGTGTGGCCGTTGAGCCAAATTGAAGACACAGAAGAATTTCATTTTCTGTGTCTCCATATCTTTATTCACTTAAAATGGCAGATCATTATTCTTTCAGATTCTCTACAAACTACATACCCTATGATGATTTTAAATAAAAATAGGGTTAAATTTAAGCTTTCAATGTCTTAACTATTCTAAACAAAGGTAAGAAGAAAGGATAGAGCAGCTCAAGGTCTTATGGCAGGGAGCAGTCTGTCAAAAAATGGTGCAAACTCTTCATTTATAGTAGCGGTTACATAACATGCCAGAATGTTCTCAAAAGTACTGGTCTAGGGGGAAGATCCTGAAATTGCGGAAAGTTAATTAGAGGTTGCCTGTTCGTGTAGAGCAAAGCCATTGTATTTTTTATATTTTACTTCTATATATTTTTTAATGGCCGGGTGCTTTGTTTAATAGCTATTAGTCTTATGCCACTACAAGGGCCGGAGGTGGTGGCCATTTCGTTGTGAAAGCACCTAATTGGTGGTCACCATTGCCTCCTATGAACAGACAAACATTTACAACCATGCTTCTCTGGGATTCAAACCTAGGTTCATTGCTACTGCAGTCAGTGTCACTAACCACCACTATATCTGTTGGGCAGCTTTACGCAAATAATATTGAATGCAGAATTGAATAGTATTTCACTGTGTATTTAATTGCTTCATACTTAAATTCCATAATCATAATATACAAATAATATTTTATGCTAAATCAAAATAACAATTTGTTTAAAATCAAAATGTTTAATGTATGTTCAGTCACTAATTTCATGTTTAAAAATCAAAATAAACATCAAAACAAAATAGCTGTTACTTCCATTCAGAGTACTACTATTGCTTTTCTCCTATTACTGCTGTTATGCTAGTATTATGAAATTAAACCAAGTAACTTTAAAATAAATAAGCAAATTTTTTACTGAATCAGAAACAAGATTTATACTAATTACAGTAGTTGCATTAACCCCTTAATTGCCGCGGGCGTATATATACGCCTTGCTCAGCCGATGCGTTAACTGCCCCAGATGCGCAGCCGATGCGTTAACTTTGCGAATAATTTTAGGTGTAGCAGCGCAAAGCAAATGATAGCAGTTTGGAAGGACGTATATATACGCCTGGGGCAGTTAACGCATCGGCTGAGCAAGGCGTATATATACGCCCGCGGCAGTTAAGGGGTTAAGTGACATAAACAGTTTGTAAATCAAAACAACCCTAATATGTTAAGACTGGGTAAGCACATATCAGCTTACCTTTGAAAACCTCACTTTATAGGATCAGTGCCTTTCCCCAACATAGTCCAGTCTGAAAAGAAAATTGGGATCCACCCTGGCATGCCATAAGCATAAAAACCACAGTTGTATACTTGGGCAGTGAATGTTCTTCCCAAATAAAGACTGGTCAGTTAACTTTAACATAATTAATTGACAAATACAACATAAAATGGTTATAAGGCATACGAGGTTACAGATAAGATGGATTTTCAAATCTTTATGCTTATAACATCCGTAGATTAACTGGTTGTCTAGTCCTTGAGACCAAATTAAAATGTTAGCAGAAATCCCTCTTTATCAGGTGCAACTTCAAAACAAGGGAGAAAAAGAGTATGTAGTTTTAGTTTGTTAGAGTGATTTTTTTATTATTAAATAATTTTATTGAAAACTTAAATTTGCCACATTACAGAATGTTTCAAAATATGGTCAAATTCTCTGTTTGTTAAAAGTTTATGGAAATCTTTTCAAACGGCAAAATTTCCATAAAATATTTGAATATTTAACTCTTAATTTCTGTTCACTGACTATTAATGTAAATCTCTTTACTTTTAAATATGTATTATTTGATGAAGCATCTAAAATTATTCCCTATTCCTCTCTTTTTAAAGTTTTATGTGGAAATATGTCAACTGTTTCTGCATAAGAAACTCAGTTTTTAATACAATATTAATTTCTGAGTTTCAGGTGCTAAATAAAATCTGCTTCACACCCAGTCTGAAACATTGTTGATAAGACTGGTCTAAAGAGAGAGACAGTTTTAGAATGTTTTGTAATATAAAATATTAATTAAGTTTTAAATGCAAAATAATAAGTTATTGATGTTGATACATCCGTATTCTTGGACATATATTACTGAATTGACTTGCTCTGATTTATACTGGCTGTGCTTTGAATTTTATCTCATCCTTCTTGCCAGATGATAAACCCATGGTGTTGCCAGTTTGAACACTACACTTCCAGTCTCATTAATTTATTTACTCACCTCATACTAATGTCATGATTGTTTTTCAGGAAAACTAAATATAAATCATATATTTTGCATTATCTAACATTATTTTCTGTTTAATTCTATTTAGATTCAGGTGGCAATTAAGTGCCTTAGTGAAGAACGAATGCAGAAGAATCATATGGAATTTTTAAAAGAAGCGGCCATCATGCATACCATTGACCATGAAAACATAGTTCGTTTGTATGGAGTTGTATTGGAGACTAATGCTTTAATGCTGGTAAATATCAAAATATTAAATTGTTTTTCATTCTTAATCCTGTGATATTGACATGTTATGAATCTTTATAACTTTACTTTTTGTTATGCAAGTAGGTTGTTATTCAATCAAAAAATGTGTACTTACTACTGTTTTCTAAATGTAATATATTATTTTATCTTTTCTTTAAAAGGTAGACAACTTAAAAAATTGTGTTGCTTTTTAAACCTGTAACTGTATTTCTTTTCAGATAAATACTATATTAATTACAAATTTATTATTTTTTAATTTATGGCCTTTCATACATTAGAGAATTATTGCGAAGTTTCTACACTCATCTGAAATATATAGTCATTTTTGAAAAAAAAACTTTTTTTATAAGCAAACTAAAACGCATGCTTAGTTAGCCAAAGCGGCATTAGCCCAGAAGGGATATTAGTCTCAAAATGGCATTTTTTCATAAAAATGTTGAATCACTTTTCAAATTGTTGCCACCAAATTTATTGCCCTGTATTATATTTAAAGAACCTAGAGTCATCAAATTTTGAATGATGTAGTCCTCCGCATTAATATGGGCACCTGAAAGCCTAAATTTTGAATTTCAATTTGTTTTATTATGTATTTCATATTTTGAAAAACTTTTAAATGAATTTCTGATTAAAAAATTCACTGATTTCAAAGTGAGGAGTGGTAACGCTACGGAAAAAGCACTTTTATCTTCAGCATACGTGGCTGTCTATCAGAAATTCAAAAGATATACTGTTTTTAAATATTTTTAGCCCAAATTCTGTCAAAATGGGTATGTGTATGTAAAGGGGGGAATGCGCCTTTAGGCATAACATAAAATCTGAAGGCTTTCAGATTTTTTTTATTTGTTTTTAACTGTGTATACTGCAAATTTATTAACTTTGTTATTTCAACTACAAATAGAGATTGAAATGGCTCTTGAGATCAGAAGTTTTTCCTTCAATTATTCTCTCATTGTTTGCAGTTAGTTCAAATTACAAAACTCATGTGTTCTTAATTTCTTCTTAGCATAAATTGTATGAAAATATATTTTTAACTTTCTCATCTTTCATAAGTGCATTTATTTTCTGAAAAAATAAGATTACAAGACTAAAAATGAACCATTTTGCAATATCTGATTAATTGCTGTAATAAAAAATATTATCCTTTATTATGCTATTGCCGTAATCCTTCTTTTCGGAATAAACAGAAAATCAGTTGTTTTCTATCCAAAAATTTATTTTCTTCTTTAACTATGTAGGAATCCAGATATCTTTCAAATACATATATTTCAGAAAGGAAATAATATTTAAGTTGTTTGTGCATCATTTTATAAAGTACACCACAAATTGCTGTTCTAGTTTTCACGAATATGTTTAATTTTTTTAGTATCCAGCATTTAAACTTAGTTAATATTGCTCACAAATCAAATATTATGACTGTTGCAAAAATTTGCCTTAATAAAAATATATTCATGTTAAGCATGATATAGTGTTATAAATTATATTCTATTTTTAATATACTTGTGGCATCCAATTGTTACTGCAAAAGTGATGCAGTGTAATTCCTCCTAGAATGAAAAAACACATGGAATTGTAATTTTTTATTTTTACAGGTCACAGAGCTTGCACCTTTACGTTCACTTCTAGAGTGCCTTAAGGAGCCAGCACTTCGTCCAAGTTTTCCCGTCATTTCCCTATGTGAATTTGCTTTACAGATATGTGATGGAATGCAATATTTAGAAAACAAGAAATTGATTCACAGAGATCTTGCAGCTAGAAATATACTAGTTTTTGCTAAAAATCAAGTAATTGTATTTAAATAATTTTCTTAGTTTTCATCATCAAGTTAAATAGATATTAAAGTTTCAGTTTTTAATGTATATATCTTTATTATCATGCTAAAATGATTCTTCAAATTTATTTCTACATGCTTTGAATTATTTTAATTTAGGTAAAAATTAGTGATTTTGGTTTATCAAGAGCTCTAGGTGTTGGTAAAGATTATTACCAGACCAATTTTAATGTCAACTTGAAACTTCCCATTGCTTGGTAAGCATTTAAAAATGTTATTAAACATCTGAATAAATCCAAAGACTGCATGAAGTTATTACACATTTCAACTAAAATGTATTTTGTATAATACAGGAGATTTGTAATGTATTAGGAAATACAGTGTCAGCTGGCATTTTGTTCATATTCTACGTCAAAAGCATCTGTATTGAAAGATACTGTAAAAGTGTTGTAAAAATCTTTCATCTTTTTTTTTTTTTTTTTTTTTTTTTTTTTTTTTTTTTTTTTTTTTTTGAGGGGGTACACTTACAGCATTATCATTTTTTGTGTTTTAAAAAGCAATGTAGTTTTTGTGTAGATTTATGAGTAAAATGCTTTTAATCATCACATAATATAATAATTTATTCTGACAATTTTGAAGTTATATTAGAAAGTAGCTATGAAAAGTATAGTAGAACATGTACATTTATATTTTAACCTATTTTTATTGCAGTGTTTTGTTTTAAATTTTATATTTTAATTTTTTTTTTTTTTTTTTTTTTTTTTTTTTTAGGTGTGCTCCAGAGTGTATTAATTATCTTCGGTTCACATCAGCTAGTGATGTGTGGGCTTATGGTGTAACTTTGTGGGAAATGTTTAGCTATGGTTTTCAACCATGGGCTGCCTTAACTGGTCAACAGGTAAAAGAATGAAAATAATTATACTTAATTAAATAATAATTAATTAATATGGAAAATGAAATATATATAGTTAAAAATATACTTATTTCATAGCTCTCTTTTAAAGTTCTTATTAAAAGTTTCAAATAAATATAAAGTTATCATTTAATTCTTCAAATAAACAAATTACAAAGCTATAACATATATAATAAGTGATGTGTTTGTGAACATCACACATAAAAGTACTATAGTACTTTTGTATGTGATGTTTTATTCGACCACTTATTAAGAAGAATGCATACACCGTAAGAGAAAGCACAGATTTTATTGTGGTTCATAGAAACGAAATCCATAATGCAAACACAGAGAAATTGCAGAAGAATTTACCAAAAAGATCCTCCATCCAAAAGCAGCATCTTGCGGTGGAAAAAGAATTTTCTAGAAACTGGAAGTATCACAGATAAGAAACATTCTCTGTGGATGCCGACGGTACCTGGCGTGAAATTGAATATTGAATTGATATTCTGCGTGTGACGAAGGTGCACACGTGGAAGTTCATTTACAAGGGTCATGAAACTTTTTGAGTCTCTCTAACCATTTATGTTATTAATTTGAATCTATCGTTATTGTTTTACGAGTTATTGAACATCAAAATGTGTTCAGGACTTTATAAACACCCTGTATATTTAGAATTTCTCATAAATACTTTTGTTCCATTTATCGGTCGCTTAAATTTTAAAATACACAGTTTTTCTATTTACATGTTGTCAGGTTTATTTAAAAAAAAACTGCAATTAAAACGTTAGATAATTTTTTAATGTATATTCCATGTTGCTTAAATTGTTTTAATTATTTAGTGCTAATATCACATTAGCCTTCTTAAAAAACTGGTGCAAGGATTTATAGACTTTTTTAGAAGCACAGCCTAGCTCAGTTTTCCTGACATCCTTGAACAGTGAATGCAATGAACTCACAATTTTGCCATATGTACAAGCATTCAAGTTCTGATTTTTATCCATGTAAAATTTTCACATGGTAGCCATAATGTTTATAAAATTTACCAATTTTTATGTTTATAAGGGAGGGGATATAGATGCAATATTCAGAAAAAAGGAAGTAAAAATATTTAGACTATAATAAATTTAGAAAGATTAAAATAGACTAAAGTTTATCCTGTAAATAGTCCAGTTTTGAAAATTTCATTAAATTTTTTTATGTTATCTTTTTACAGATTCTTGAAGCAATTGATGAGCCAAATTTTCAGCGCTTAGAGCAGCCAGAATGCTGTCCAAAGGAATATTATACTTTGATGTTAAAATGTTGGCAACATGATGCAAATAAGAGGCCAAAATTTTCTGAAATATATGCCATTTTACCTGAAGTATTATGATTTTGTGCTGAATTATAAATAAATTATTTGTTATCAGTAACATTAATTAGAAGTAATAAAGTAAAATAAAATCACATAAAAGTAAAGTAATGGATCATGCAGATAATTTTAGATTAAGACTTTTCAATATAATGGTTAATCAGGACATGATATTTATTTTTTTAATTCATAGAAATATGGTGAAATCTGAATAATTTTTAAAGCTGTTACTAATTTTTAATTTCAATCTGTAGTGTAAACCAGAACAAGTTCAAGCTGTTCAAGATTCTATAGAAGTTATTAATGGACCAAAACCAAAGAAAGATTGGCTTCATTATCAAACTGGAGAAGTCATTACAGTTTTAGACAAACGGTAGTGTATTATTCAACCACAAAATTATGTGCAAATCCCGTGGTTCGGTAAAAACAAAATCATATTTCTTTGAGTAATTTAAAATATAATTTAAATCATCTCATTAAATTGGATCACATGTCTTAAGTAAAAGGAAATTTGATTACTGAGAAAAAAAAAATTTTAAATTAAATTATAAAGAGAGAATAACAATTAAAATGATATATAAAATAATAAGGGAAGAAACTTTAGTTTGGCTTTTGAGTAGTTTGACATCAAAGATATCTCATGATTCATCTCTTAAATGCTTGAGAATAAGTTGGATCTGTTTTTGATTTTCTGAGAATAAATTTTTTTTTTTTTTTTTTTTTAATTTTGTGTCACCTACTTTCCTTTCTTCCCCCTTCCACCCCATGTTATAAGAGATCAGGAGAAAAATGTCAAGGTGCATTAATTCTGTGTATTATTTTGTCATTAAAAATAGCTTCACTAATTGTCTTAGTGACAAATAATAAAATCATTCTATTACCATTTCTTAAATTTTAGTCCTCTCTTTGTTATTTGATTTACAGTTTTTTTTATTCTCCCTCCCCCCCCCCCAAAAAAAAATCAGCATTTTCCTGTTATTAAATTAACAGAGCAGCCATAAAATGTATATTTCATCAAAGCTGTGTTCTTTGAAAAATATTTCTGAAAATTTAATACCAGAATATGCAGTAATATAGCTTTATCAGTTATCTTATTAAAATTTTGTTTACTAGAACGTTAATTTTTATAAATGACTTCTGAAAATATAGTAAGAAATGTTATAAATTAAACTTTTGGACCTTAAAAAGTAATAATTCTCAATAGCAGTTCTATGATGCTTTAGTATAATGCAAAATTTTTTGAGAAAGAAATTGGGAAATTTTGAACTATTTTTCCTTCATAAAATGAGAATCTGGATAGGTATTTTTAATACAGTACAAAGTCCATAATCCGGACTCCTCGGGACTTCGTCGATTCCGGATTAGGGGTTCTTCCAGATCAGGAAGGGGTTTTTCTGATAAGATGGCATGCAGAAATTATACAATTAAAAATATGAAACAGTAATTTATGAAATAAAGAGCGATTATGATCTAAAAGGTATCAAATTTTACAAAAGAAAAGCTTAATATTTATTTGTTTACTTTATTAAACATTTCTTTCAATGTGTGCATGCACATTCTCTACGGGCATGCGTAAAGTTCATGGCTTTGAGCTCCGGATAATGGACGTCCGGATTACAGACTTTGTACTGTATACTGTTATTCTTAAACTGTATGTAGCCTGAATTTCTGCATTGCATTTAAAAATATGTGTCAAGAAAAAAGATATTTTAATTCTAATCCTCTTCTCTTTCTAAATGTTTGCAGACCATTACCTGATAATTCAAATTTGTGGAAAGGTGTTCTCAGCAGTGGGAAGACAGGTTTGTTTAACCCTGCACATACAGTGGCTTATTTAGCAAGTTTTCCAACAAATCGTCCCAGCTTTTCACGTTCTGATTCAAAATGTGGGATTTATGCAAGTAGAAGGAGGTATGTAGTAAATTACAAAGTAGCCACCAGTTCATCATTCTGATTTCTTGGATTGGCATGTATAGATGTACAAATATAGCAGAGTACTATAGAATTACTCTTAGAATTTACTTACTTTTTTAAATTAGAATGAAGTTAAGAAAAATGAAGAACATGCTATTAATTTAGTATTCATGATACAGGGGTTGGACAAAAATATGGAAACATGTTTCTTTGTAAAAAAACATGTTTCTTTGCTTAATATGGTGTAGGAAACCCGTTGGCATCCAAAACAGCTTGCACTCTTCTCGGAATGGATAAATACAGTTCCTGTATGTTTGCCAAGGGAATATTATACCATTCTTCCTGCAAAACGGTGGCAAGTTCAGATAACGATGTTGGCGGTGGATAACGAGAACGCACTTTCCGTTCCAATGTAGACCACAAAGGTTCGATAATATTCAGGTCTGGTGACTGTGGTGGCCAGGGTAGATGGGACAACTCATCCTCGTGCTCAGAAAACCAGTCCTGGACAATGTGAGCTGTGTGAACAGGGGCTTTGTCGTCTTGGAAGACACCATCACCATCGGGGAACAAAGTTTGTACCATGGGATGAACTTGATCGGCCAAAATGTTCACATAAGTCTTGGCAGTCACGTGCCCTGACACAGTTATCATGGGGCTAGCAGACAACCATGATATGGCTGCCCAAACCATAACAGAACCCCCGCCATGTTTCACTCTTGGCAACAAGCAGTCTGTATTATAGGCTTGAGATGGCGCTCTCCAGACGTAAACTCGGCCAGAAGTGGGAAACAATGTGAAAGAAGACTCGTCAGACCATATTACTTGCTTCCACTGCTCTATAGTCCAGGCTTTATGACTTAAACACCACCTTTTCCTGTTACGGGCATTAGCATCACTGATGAGTGGCTTCTCGATTGCAGCACGGCCAGCAATTCCCTGTTTATGAAGCTCCCTTCTAATTGTTTTGGTACTCGCAGGGTTCGGTAACACAACATTCATTTCAGCAGTAACTTTTGCAGTTGTGGTCTTCTTATTTTTCGTCACAATTGCCCTTAATGATCATCTGTCACGATCACTCAGGACACTTTCGTCCGCGCTGTGATTTAGCAGATGATGTTTTTCCGCTTTTCAAATATGCGGAATAAATCTTCGATACAGTACCTCTTGAAACACTAAACACCTCGGCTACCTTGCTTATGGAAGCACCTACCATACGTGCTCCAACAATTTGCCCACATTCGAAGTCTGTTAACTCTGACATAATGCAATGACAACCTCACATAACAGTACTCCGACAACAACTGAACTGTTTAGCACATTTACGAAGTTGTATAGGTGGCGTCAGTAGTCAAAAATGCCAGCCCCACCTACATATTTCATTAAAATCAATCTTTCTTTTCAAACATGCATTTCACAAGGTGTTTCCATATTTTTGTCCATCCACTGTATGTATCTACTTTTAATTTTGAATACAAATTTATATGTGTTAGATGAAATAGAAACGTTAGCTTGAAATTTTAGTTTATAAATAACTATATAATTTTTAATTTAGTAAAAAATTGCAAATGTCATTTAGATAGGAGAATCTTTCAGGAGATATTTTATTTGACGTTATATACTTCTATATAGACTATAGAAACAAAGAGCAGTTATATACTTCTATATAGACTATAGAAACACTAGGACTATAGAAACAAAGAGCAGTTCACTGCATTCTCATGCAACTAAATATGATTTAAATGCACAAATTATTAGCTTTGTTGCCTTGTCTGCATCCCCATTTTTCAGATTCGGTTTGTTTAAAATATGCGTAACTTTTTTTAATATTATTTGTGATTCACGTACATTTGTACATGTAATTTTATTGCACATATTCAATATGTATATATATAGATGTATTGCAAATATATTGTCTTAATTCTTCATTAATTGACCAACTAAGCAAATATTACCTGACACTTCTAAAAAAGTTAATTAAAAATAAAGAGAAATGCACAAACTTAGCACTGTACAGTGGGGGGGAAAAAAATTGGACAGTTCTATATCTCCTGTTCTACTGGGCCGATTGACGAAATTCAAATTGCATTCTTCGTGTCTCAAAAGCGTGACTTAAGATATATATTAGATTTATATATAGTGCTATTCTAACATAGTTATTTTGAGACAAAATCAGACTTTTTCTGAAATAACATATCAATTTTTTGCCGTATTTTGATTCTGAGACTCAAATTATGCCTAAATATGAAATTTTGTAAAATTTGGTGCGAAATTTACGGAGAAATTCACAAATTTATGTTAGCTCTTTTTTTTTTTTTTTCTGTTTGCATCACTTGGCGAACTTCTTAATATATGGCAACCTATTTTCCTTTTTCAATGAGAGGGAAAAAAACCACAACATTCTTTCTTTCAAATAATGTACTTTACATTATATTTTTATGTTATTATTTTTAATAATATTTTTTTTCTTTTTCGAATTTCATTTTAATTTTATAAGTTGCATGGTTTCTTTCGAATAACTGTTTTAAAAATTTCTATTTACCCATTTGAACTGCATAGTTTAAATATAAGGTGGATCATTTATTTTTTTTTTTAAATAGTTTTCTTTGTAAATTTTTCTTGTCACAGCTATTATTTTAGGTAATTTTTAAATTTTTAGACTTTTTTAATTGTTTGTGTTGCATAGTCTCGTCATAATTTACTATTTTTTTATTTACTATGTAACAGATGCTGTAAATCTACAATAAAATTTACTTCTACTGAAGATAAACACAAATCACTCTTAAGTTTTCATTTTTTATGAGCGATTGTGTAAAAGATTCGTTAATTAAATTTATTATTGTTGTTATCATCATCATCACCCTCTTAATGTATCATTATCATCTTTGTTTATGTCGTTGAAACCTTCTGAAATTTATTAGTTAATGTAACAATTTCAGATTACGGACTGATATGATTTCACGACCTCAAGGAGATTTTAAACATACGGGACATGTTGGCCTAGATGGTGCATTTTTTGGTGACATATCATTTTTAGGGGATAAATATCATCAGTTACCAAAACAAATAGTTACTCCTTGTAAGTATATTTTTTAATAATATTTTTTGTTATAGTAATGTACACGAGCTACTAGTAGTATTTAACATCTGTTTTTTTTGTTTAGATAAACCTCAAGACGATAAGGAGAATGTAAGCCCTACACTGACAACATTATCAGATTCATCTGATAAAATACCTCTGTTGAAAAAATTCAGTACATCTGATGGAAGAAGTGGATCCTCTTCTGGTAGATTACTTTTTTTTAAAGTACCAGTTTTATTCATAATTAAATCAAAATGATTAACCAAATAAGTATTTTGCATAAGTGCTGAATAATTCGTTTGTAAAACAGAAAATTTGCATCCTTCAGACTGAGAGGAGTTGTGCTGCAAAAACTCAGAAACCTTTTCTAAAAAGGAATAAATTGACAGATGGAGTATTGGGTGTCTAAAGGAGTTTCTTAAATTGTGCAAATCAGTCTCATCTTTTATAAGTTGTTTGGGGAAGGTGTGGCTTTAATGATCATGTAGTGGAATAATTGTGAAGTTCTTAAAATATTGTTTCTGAAATTAAGACTAGCATTTTTCAGCTGGGAAAAGGTTAAGAAATGTTGTAGGTAATATTTCTGTCTAGGATAAAAATAGTCTTCTATCTAGGACTAAATCCTAGATAGTATAATTTTACTCTAGATAGTATTTCTATCTAGGATAAAAATAGATCAAGAAAATGTGGTCTGGAATTCACTTGATCTAATCTATCAGGACTTTTTCTTTGGCTGAGAAATGCTGTTCTAGACCGTATTCCCTTGATCTATCTAGGATCAGGGAGGTAGAGCAGAGAGCAGGTACAGATGCATGGATATATTGTTAATGTGCCTTACAATGACCCCTCACATTTTTTTTAGAAAAAATGATATATATGGTCTTATCGACTGGGGACTTCTTCCATCAGTCTTCATAATGGAATAAAATAAGCTGCAAGGAGAGTTGTAAAAACATCACTTGTATATACTTTTTTTAAGGGGGCTCCAGTTAGATTGTTTCCTTTGAGTATTAGATCTGAATCAGTTTTGGGACATGATGATCTTAAAAATATGTTTTTGCCTACATGTGTAGAAACTTCAGTTTCATAAAGTAAATAAAATCTTAATATAGATAAAATGTATTTCTTGTTATGTTCCACCTCTTCTTTCATTATGTAAATGAATGGTCGGGCATTAAATAAATTTGTTAATGACAGCTTTAAATACTTTTTTGCGCGTGCGTATGTTATGATGAGAATAGGATCGGCATTAGATTTTTTTAGCATCCAGTTCAGTCGCTGACCCTAAATTCTGCCATCTGGTGCCAGGTGTACTGGTTGCACTGGCTTAACGCGTTCACGCCGGCACGGGCCACCGGTAGCCCGGTCTAGCCTGTCTCATCAGGTGGCGCGTAGCACCGGTGGCCCACACTAGTCTGTCTTATCGAGCGGCACGTACCACCGGTGGTACGCATTCGATTATATCTATTGCTTCTATTGAATAGATTCATCAGACGAGTCACTTATTTCTATATCCCTGTTATCTATTATTTATAAGGGCAAAAATTAAAAAAACATTCTAACTGCCTTTCTAGTTATACTTATTGGCAGAAATCTAAGGTAAAAATGAAAAAAAACCCGCACGAGTTACACAACTTGCAAAATAAGTACTCTCTATATTGTTAGCAAACGAGCAACTCGTATACAGGTCTGAACAGGTAATAATCGCGCGCCGTCACATGAAACACGGCAAAAATTTGAGTGCCGCCTCTCGCCGAAGAACATAAAAATTGGCCCCGTCATGAACATGGTAATGCTGTGGTTGAAGGCAGTCTTCCTTTCTTCTTTTTAAAAAAGTACTTTATTTCCTTTTATGAACCCAATGGGGCAGTTTCCCCTGAAGGGCTGTTAATTTTGTTTTGGCATTTTGTTAGTGTATGAACAATCTCTGTCATATCCATTTTTTCATTTGCGTGTGTTTCCGTAAAGGAACATGACAGTAAATCTGCAATATACATATATTTCCCAGGCAAATATTTAAGTTTTAATTTATATTTTAAGAGTTTAATTTTTATCCTTTGCGATCTATTTGATAACACATTAGCAATATTTTTGTTCATAATTGAAACTAATGGTTTATGATCAGTAAGCACTTCTCCCTCTCTACCGTAAATGTAATAGTGAAATTTATTAACAGCAAATAAAATACTAAGAAATTCTTTCTTAATCTGAGCATAGTTTTTTCCTATATTATTCAAACTGCTAAACGAAAAAGCAATTGGTTGCCCATTCTGCAATAAGCAGCAACCTAACCCATCTTTAGAACTATCTGCCTGTATAGTGATAGGTTTACTGCTATCAAATATTCCTAATGCAGGTACATTGGAAATTATTTTTTTTAATTCCCTGAATGCTTTAGAATGCAGCTGTAACCACTGCCATTCTACTTTGTTTTTCAAAAATTCCCTTAATATGGCTGTTTTCTCTGAAAAATGTGGTACAAATTGCCTCAAATAAATACACATTCCCAAAACACGCTGTAATTCATGCTTATTCTGATGTTCCTGTAACTCGGTAATGGCTTTAATCCAATCAGGATCAGGTTGCATGCCTGATACATTAAATAAATGACCTTATTAACCTCACTAACCCGACCTAAATATTTAACCTCACTAACCCTATATTGAAATTTTTGATTGTTGGATTTAATATTGAGTTTTTTAGTTGATGACCTCTGTTAAAATTTTATCATGTTCTTGTATGTAGCAGCAATGAGGATGTCATCAAAATAGATCAGTACTCCTGGTATATTACCAAAATTTTCAAGATTGCATTTCTGAAAAATTTCAGGTGCACAGGAAATACCCATTGGAAGCCTTAAGAATTTATAGCATCCAAATGGTGTGCTAAAAGTACAAAGATCACTATTATCCCCATCTAACGCTATTTGAAAAAAAAAAAAAAAAAAAACCTTTAAGTCCAAAAAAGAGTAAACTGATTTATTACATAGCTTTGTTAAGATCTTGAGGATCAAGGCATATTCTTAAGGATAAATTAGCTTTTTCATTTATTACTATACTGCTAACCCATTTCAAAGGTTAATCAACTTTTGCGATTTAATGCCCTGTCCCTCTAATTTGTTTAATTTAAGTTTAGGTTTTAAACTAAGTGCTACTCTACGTGGTGGTCTCACTACAGGAGCTGTCTGATCATCTACTATGATTTTACGCAATTCATTAAATTTTCTCACACCTTCGAACACTTTTATAATGAATTATTAATAATAAATTGACCTTTAGATGAAGGTAAAACAATTGTATACTGATCCAACTTACCTTTATTTGATATTCCAACCTTATTTATAAACTGATTAAATTAAGTTTAACACATGCATCAAGTCCTAAAAATGGACATATGTGCTTGCTAGAAACAATTAAAAACTCTAAAGGATGATCCTCACCATCTGAGGAACATTAACGACCCATCAGGTTTAACCTTGGACCCCCCCAAATGCTTCTAATACAACATTATACTTGTTTACAATAAGATTAGAATTCTTAGTACTCAGTGTTTCATAAATTTTCACAGGCAAAACATTCACTTCAGACCCTGTGCCCAACACTTGTGCCTTCAACAATTATAGTTTTAGTCCACTCTTTTGTAGACGATGTTGAGCATACACTTTTAGTTTTTTGGACATTTATGGAATTTACGAAGAATTCATCATCAGATTCACTATATAGATCTGTGTTATCACGCCAAGAAACATTTTGGACATGTTTCAGTCTGCACATAGTCAAAAAGTGAATAAGTTTGCCACAATTAAAGCATTTTTTTTCATATGCCGGGTATTGTCCATTAACGTGATGTCTGTTGCATTTTTTACACAAAAACGTCTCAGTATTTGAAGCGTCGTCACGCCATCCTCTGTGCTTCCTCACTGCTATGGCTGCATTGGCTCCTCTTGCTTGTTGTTGCTTCACTATCCCTCTAGTTACACTGTTAACATTGTGTTCTCTTAATGTTTGAGCACGAGCTTTGCTCAGTTCAGCTGCTTTCCCTAAATCAATTGCTTTCTCCCAACTCGGATTTTTTTTTCGCAGCATCCTCTCCTGTAAACTGGTATCTGATACTCCAAGGACAATGCAATCACGTATGACAGAGTCACTCTGCTCACCAAACTACTAGTGTGTTGCCACATATATATAACATAAAGAAATTAAACAATGAAGGATCTGCATGAATGTATGTATGTTTCTTGCATTGTAAAAAAACAACAGTACCCAGAGACATCAAATTTAGAATATCATAGTCCTCCATCTTAAAGCCCAAATTTGGCATTTGTTTTATTATCTGCAAATTTTATTATTTACATATTATTTATAAATATTATTATTTAAAAATATGAATTTTGTAAAACTTTAACGAATTTTTTATTAACAACCTCGGCGATTTCAAAGTGATTCCACATTTGAGACTGTGTATCTGAAATTCTAAAGGTATGCTGTTTTTAATTATTTTGTAATATTGCTGTTGAATATTTTATGTTCTTTGTGCGGAGAATATGATATTTAATAAATTAAGGTAATGCGCAAACTGTTGAAAAAAAGGCGGCCCCTCTGGGCGCAATATAAAATCTGAAAGCTTGCAGATTTTTTTTATTATTTGTTTATAAAAGGAGAGAAGCAATCAGATTTATTTTTAAAAAGAGAAATATTATTAATCTGCTGTGAAACAAAAGTGACCTATGTCATGAAGTAGAATCTTTTCTAAAACTGACATTCATTGCAAGAATTTGAGTATCTGAAGTATTGTGAAATTCACTTAGTCTGTGCTTGTTAAGTATTTATCCATCTAATAGTGTATAGTCTGTGCTTGTTAAGTATTTATCCATCTAATAGTGTAATCTTCCTGAAAACAAAGGGAGTATGATGTTAAAGTTTTAAACTAAAATAGTTTTTAGTTGTAGCATGAATAACTGCAGTCATCATCAAAGCATTACATAAGAATTATATCCATTATTCTCTGAGATTGCCTGTGAATTTTTCATAACTGTTAAATGTTTGAAATCTAAAATTAAAATGCATTTATTAGCAATTAAATTTCAAAAGAAAAAATATGTTTTTAGATAATACATATGCATTTCTATAAGTATATTAAATTGTGTCAATAGCAGTATACTATGTTACCTTTGTGGGTTAAATGCCATATACTCCATCAAAGTTTGTTTCAATTATATGCTGAATATATGAATCTCTGTTTTATATTTTAGATAATTGGTCTGAGGTAATCAGTGATCAAAGTGTCTCTACAAGTATAACAAACTGTGTGATCGATGGCCATCAAAAGCGAGGGAGTAAAGATGGAGAAAAACTGATTAACCTGCCCGATCATGAATATCATGAAATCAGTGATGAAGAAGACTTTGGGTTTATAGAAAATTCAAAATTTGAAGTAATTTTACTTTACTTATATTTGAAATTAATTTTTTCAAATTCTCTATTAATAGCAGTACAAATTCGGGTCATATATGTCTTTGATTTTATTATTTGTGTTTTAACCCCTTCGCGCCGACTGTCACGTATACGTGCCAGCAACGAGCGCACTTATCTACCGGCCGACATGCAGGCGTGCCAGAGGATTGTTCCGTTCTCTACCGACTGTCACGTATTTGTGCCAGTACTTTGGAATGTTTTTCAAACTATAATTTCTGCCACAAGATGGCACTGTATGTCCGTATGGTTTCAGATACATGTAAATTAGACCTTCTACTCGAAATGAGAGAAGCATAACTCACATACAAGTGTTTTTGATTATATAAACAAACGGGAAATAAATGTTTTTGAATGGCGTGATTTGTGACGTCTCTTTAAATCGCACTTTATTCGCACGTGGTAGTTGTTTACAGTAAGTAGAGAAGTTTTATTTGCTCTAAAGCGTTGGGTATTTCGGTTTGCAGTTCAGTTTTTAGAGAATAATTAGATCTTGTTAGACGTGAATTCTTTGTTTTTACCGTTGCAATGTCGAAGCATCGAAAATGTTTAACAGAGCATGAAATAGCAGAAATGATGCAAAATATTTCAGATATTGATTCTGAAATTCTGATATTGATTCTGAAAGATTAACTGAAAGACATTTTCCAAAACTTTGTTCAGAAGAGACTGATAAGAAAATGAGACGACGATGCTTCGTTTGTTCACATTCCCGGAAAAATCCTCCAAAACGGCAAATGAGTTATTACGAGTGCAAGGAATGTTACATAGGACTGTGTGTAGATCCCTGTTTTTTCAAATTTTTCATACGAAAGAGAGAATTTTAAGTAATATATTTAGTTTTCAGATGTATAATGTTAAAAATTCATAAAATGGGTGAGTAATTAAAATAAAATGGTGTAAAATGCATTTAAACAAGAAATAAGGTAATTAAAGTATATATATAAAAATATTTATAAAGCATAAGCCGTTTAAATACTCTATAGAGAATTATTTAACAATGCGTTGATACTTCGGAAATTTCATGGATTTAGGCTTAGTAGCAAAAAAGCCCCCGGCCGTGGAGAGACGCTCGCGTAAGACGCTGCCGGCCTCAGGGATAAGCGCGCGTTTTCGCTACCCGGCTCGAAGGGGTTAATCTTTATGCTGTATGTGCAGTGTCTTCAAAATTCCACTTTCTTGAACTGCTACTAAACCTGCAATATTGTAAACATTAAATTTATTAAACTTTTTCTTTATTAAACTTATTAAACTTTTAATAAATTAAATTTATTAAACTTTTTCTTTATTAAAAAATTTTTATTAAACTTATTCAATTTAATGAAATACTTAGATGTAAAGTAAGTTTAACAGATGTGTTATTAATTAAAAAATAAGAAATTTTTGGACTTAAGTCATTTTATTTATTGATTTCTATTAGCTGTTTAGTCATTGTGAGCTGAATTTTAATAATTTTTAGTTTCAGTTCTTTTAGTAATGATTTTTGATATGAGAGCTATCCAGATTAAAATATGACATCTGAATTTTGTTTGGCATAGGTGCAAAAGTAGTTCTTAATTCACCTTAGACCAGCGGTTTTCAACCTTTTGACTAACGCATACGATCTAAGCAAAAATTGAAAAACTTTAGTACCACCATTACATTTTACAATGACTATTTTTCAATTTCTCAAATGTATAGTAAAAAATATTTGATTAAAAATTGGTTACCATTTTAATTATCAAAATTTAAATTATAATACTTTAAATCTAAAATTTAGTGTGAAATTTGGGCCTGTTTAACAGAGATCAGTTTCGTTATGTCTGGTCTTATTTCACTTAGTTTTAACCATAAATTAGGATCCATTTTTAATTTTGTTCTGTAATTTTTTTTTTTCAAAAAACATGTTCACACAAATAGGGTTTGCAAAAAGGCAATATAAACTTAATACTTTTATTTCAAATGCTTTTAAAGGTACTTTTCCGTTTTGCCTATGCAAATCTCGCCAAGCAGACTTTGTTGGTGACAACATACAGTATACACATAAAAAATGTTAACAAATGTTAGTTATAAGAATTTTTTATTTTGAAGACATAAATATTTTAATATGGTTTAAAATTTTGTAAAATGCCAATAAATAACAACAATAAATTTGTAAAAAGACATTAATTTAAGAATTTACTATGCTTACATGGTTCAACATCCTGATTCGCTGGTTCATATCACGTGACCCCAAGTGCTCATTTCACGCAAATTATGCTACAAAAATCTCTAATTCTCTCAGTAATTATCTATATTAATTTCAAGTTAAATTTTGGTTTGGAATACAAGATTAAATGCAAGAATTATTTCAATTCATACGAATAGCTTACTCAGAAATTATGTAAAACCATAGTGCTTTACTTCGCTAGTGCATTCTTCATTAGAACTGATGAATTTAAAACACTTGATTTTGTCTTTTCTATATTTTTGCCTTCGGGTGAGCTGTGTGATTGCACTGCTCACCCGAAACTGTGCAATCACGCAGTTTTGAAATCTGACCGAATTGACTTAATTACCGTGAATTGTCTTAGGGCATAAAATTTAACTAATTTGTAAAAATTCTATGTAATTGTATGCCAATGTTGAAACTGATAAGAAATGGTTACTGTTGAAACTGATAAGAAATGGTACAATCAATCTGATAAGAAATGGTTTTGACTTGTTTTGAAAATGAGGCGTAAAAGGCTACCAGCGAAGATATTCCGTTTGACATCAGTTGTACCATTATTGGCGACTTTATCAATTGCGCTGGTAAAACAGAAAAGTATCCTTTTAAATTGTTTTTTTTTTTTTTTTTTTTTTTTTCCAGTTCAGCCAAAAGTTAACAAGTGTGCTATTTTTGAAATCTTCAGTTAGAATTCAATCACTGAAAATTTCTATCAATTGTTCTTATTCTTCATGAGACTTTTTTTATTTAATAAATAAAAAATACTTTTTTTTCGAGTACCACCTATTATTCTCTTGTGTACCACCAGTGATACACGTACCAACAGTTGAGAATTGCTGTCTTAGACCCATGTTGTGTATGTGTTGTACAGAGTTCAAAAGGTTTATTTTATAGCAATCATTAATGGTTTGATCATTATGGTTGGAAATTCAAAAAAATAAAGCTGCAAGCAGTGATACATTATTTTATTATTAAAGAATCCATTACTTTTAAAATTCATTGTTGATTGTGAATATTTTCTGGGAGTAATTGCTTTTCATATTAAAGCCGTACACAAGCATTTCATATTAAAACCGTCCTAAACCATACATAAACATGAACTAAGATGCCCCAGAATGTGTATCTTAGCATTGTCAATGAATGTGTCAGCTAACTCAGACAGCCGGAACAAAACTTGCAAATCCTGCAAGTTAATCAATGGTGCATCCAGTGGAACTTGGAAAAAAAGGTTGCAGTACCAAAGTAGTCTTTTTTTTTTTTTTATATATAAATTTCACTTTTGTGCTGGACTATGTATTATCTTTTCATTGGAGAATATTTATTATTATTAATATTGTAATATATACTACACCAGTTTTTCTCTAACATTCTTCAAGTGGGGACCACTTTTATAAATTAGATTGTTCTGCAGGTCACCTTACTTTTGTCCACTTCAAAAACAAAATAAGTATACTGATAGTAACATAGGCTAAAAATAGCATACATTACTATCAGTATGCTCATATTTTTAAAATACAAATCAATTAAGTAAATCAAAAAAAGTTTTATTTTTAATAATTTAAAGGTATTGGAGTTTGGATATTGTTTAGTTTATTAACAAAAATTAAATAAATGTTGGTACCCGTAATTAATGGCATAAATGAGTCTGCCAGTCTGTGTTTGGATATAGTCTGGGATCAGGCACATACATCAATTTTGGTCCTTTGTTATATATGAATTGGTGATGAATACCCTATCTGACACAGATGCATTGAAGCAAACAGAATTATAATTTTTTAGACATTGTTGTACAGTTCACTATATTCTGTTTTCACTGATTGTGAGGTCCAGAAATTAACCATACCTTCTACATGCAATTTTATTTTAAATTTGATGTCATTTGAGAGTTCAATTAACTATGCACTATCATTTAATGATAATTTGTTATTTTCAATATTTCAGTGGTAATGATCATAAAAATTTGTAATATTTCCCACTTGAAAAATAAGTTTCAAATTGTGATTACGGAGTTTTGCGATGGAACATATGCTGCTGCATTATTCTTTTCATATCGTTATCATTAATTGTGCTTTTGCTGGTTATTTTAATAATGTAGTGTTGTAATTTGTGTGTAATAAATGTCTAATATTCAGTCTAATGGAAAGCTCTTGCATGTTTTGCTAATTAATATTAGACCAGAATTTTTTTTTAGTTCTTCAAATTATATAAAATGATTGTTATTTATCTGTCATATGTACTTTATGAATGTTTTACTTTTTATTATTATTAAGAAGTGTTCTTTTATTTATAAAGCCTTTGCTTTCTGTTTATAATACAAAAACAGAAAAAGGTAATATTGAGCAACTTTAAAATACATTTGCTTATATTAAAAATATTTTTTTTATTTGTTTCAGTCCTTGGATTTTGGACCTTCATTGATGGATGAAGTATTTAAAGCATTGGGTTCCACTAAGTCTGAATTAAACTTTGGAGAGCAGGAGTTTAATGAAAATAATAATATAAAAAATGAAATTAAAGAAATAACGTCAAAAGTAAGCAGAGAAGGCTCAAAAAAGAAGCAACCTGAAGTAAAACCTATTTCTGCAGCCGATCAGCAAACTTTAGATTCTGCAATCGCTATTGCAAAAGAACTGGCCAACAAAAGTTTTTTAGACCTTGAAACTAGATCAGATAATGATACTCCACTAGAAAGTCCTAAGACGCCTACTTCACCATTTAAAAGAAAGTTTTCCTTTAAATTTAAAACTAGTCCCAAACCAGATAGAAGAAATTTTTCAGAAGAAGCTGAAGCAATACCAGATATACAGGATATCATTACCGAAGAAGCAAAGGAAGCATACAATTCTCTAGTGGAAAAAGGAAGTGGCTTAGAAAGAAGTGTCTCTTTACCGCCTACTGTAGCACCAAAACCAGTAATAGAGAACTTACCTCGATCTAGACAACCATTGCAAACACATACTCCTGCTACAGATTCCTCTGATCCAGAGTCAGAAGCTGTCGATAGTAATCCTCTTCGAATGCTAAGAAGTGGCGTGCCTGTGAGACCTAAAGTGCGTGGTAATAGACATGGAATACCAAATAGTGGTAGAGCAGCCACTCCACACACAGCAACTGTAGCTAGATTAGCAGCAAATGCTGTATCAAGTAATGGTTCCTCTTTGGTCAATGGCACTCGGTCAAATTTAGGATCTCCTCCTCCTCCACCACAGGCACCAAAAACCTTTCCAAGACCAAATATACCATCTCGATATACCAAAGACAATAACATTTCTAATTCTTCTCCTAAATCAGATGAAGTTTCATCTGATGCAAAATTAGAAGATCAAAGTGACACTTCAAGTACTAATACAACTGTCAGTTGTAGTGAAAGTTCTAGTGATAATTTACCAAATCCTTTACCTTTGCCGCCAAGAGATCGAACTAAGCCTTTACCAGTGCTGAAACATCATCAACGAAAACACCCTCTAATTCTTCCTGGTTCCAATATTTCAGTTTCAGACACTGTACGAAATTTAACCAAACAGGTTTCTTGTCCAGATGTGCCATCTCATTCGTTTTGTTCGGTACCAGAACCAGAACGTAGGTCGAGTGAAGGTGCCCCTCCTGTAAATGATACTTTATTGGAAACTGCAACTACTACAGCATCTAGTCTTACATGTAATACTTCTGTATCTTTAAGTAGCACCATTCCACCACCTAAGCCAGCAAGGACGTACAAGTAAGTAAAATAACCATGAAATTGCATAAATAATGGAAAGTATCTTGTCTTGATAGAATAACAACTGAATTAATGGGGGGGGCAGTGAGACTAATTTATTATTCTGTGTTTTTAGAAAATTCAACAGTTAGTTCCATTCAGATGTTTCAAAAGATGAAATGAGTTCAGTGATTAGTAGTGTTACTCATGACAAGTTATTTTTTGTAATGTTTCATATTATGCTGTGGGAAAGTAAAACTAAATCTAATGTATTAATTCATTTCAAAGTTTTTGCAAAGTTCATTTAAAGCTAAATTTCTATTTATATAATGTAAAAAGTTTGTGAGAGCATTGAAATGTTGTTGTCTAATAAACAGTTGAACGTGACTTTCAGTTTATTGTAGAATGATTATGCTATATTGTATTAGTGTATTATATGAAATTCAGAGATAAAATTTACTGGAAGTTTAATGGAAGTAAATTTCACGTAAGTCTTCAAATAGCATTTTACATGGTAGAAATGTTGCACTGCACTCACGATTAATAGATTTTTGTTTCTTTGAAAACTGAGATTTAGTCTATAATTGGTAAAACAGCTGATTCTTGTATATACTTGTGGGGAAAATTAAAGGAGCAACTATAAAAATTCGTATAACATAAATAATTTTGCAGCTAAGAACATGGAACTTGCACTAGATCTTTGTTGTGTCTGGTGTAGCTTTAAAAATAGAATTGCCTATTTTTTACAAAAATTAAATTTAAATTAGCATATGAAGAAGTGGAATAGGGCAGAGTTGGAGGTTACAACTTTTTAAAAATGCATAAAACAAATTAATAAGGTGTATGGTCATCTCTGACTGAAATGTAAGCTTCAAGGCAATTTTTCGTATTGTGTATTAGGAATGTTTAGGAGTTTCTGTGGTAAAAAAGCCTTGAAGCTCATTGAGAATGTTGGATAGAGACTGCACTGATGCAAGTCTGCTTTCAAATGTGTCCCACACATGTTGTATCAGATTTAAATCCAGACAATATGCAGGCAGATTCATTCTCTGGATTTCTTCACCCTCAAGACAATCGGTTTGCTAATACAGTCAAAAGTCGTTAATCTGGACTCGTCGGGACTTTGGCGATTCCGGATTATAGATCATCAGTTTAAATCTGGTAAGATGGCATGCAGAAATTATAAAATTAAAAATATGAAACCATAATTTATGAAATAAAGAACAATTATGATCTAAAGGGTATCAAAATTAAAAAAAGAAAAAAGAAAAAAAGCTTAATATTTATTTGTTACTTATTAAACATTTCTTTCAATTGTAAGTTGTTTAAGTTGCTCGTTTTATTGATAATACTTTCTCTTTAATTCTATAAACAGACATAATTTCTTCTTCATTACAAAGTTCCCAAGTCCTATAATTGCTGTGTCGAGAATACCGACTAATTGTTCAATCGAAATTTTTTCGTTTTCAATAACATCCTCACTATCGGAAGCGAATTATAATGACGAGGAATTTGATTTAAATCTATCAAAGACGGAGTACATCGAGATTGAAATACTACATTTAGTAGGAATTATAAGCCAAAATAAAATAAAAACATCTGCCTGAGATATGGATAGTGCTGACAGATCAACTTCCAATTCATCCCTGCGGCGCTAAAGATAAACAAAGTTTAGATAAACAAACGTTAAAGTTTAGATAAACAAAGGATATGCCTTTATCCATTTTTTGCAGCAATTCCATTTTTTGTTTAATAGACTTTGAAACATACTTTTGCTTTGTAGATCCTTTACGTATTAGTAAATATATATCAGAAATTCTATTTGACATAATCGAAAGTTCAAGCTTACTTTTATAAAATTGCTCTAACAGTCTGCAAAAAATAATAAGCCGAATCCAATGTGAAGATTAAGGAACAACGCAATCTGCAACATTAACTGAATTAGATAATTTTAGCTTAGCTTATACCGTCCGTTATACATTAAACGTGCATTCGTAAACATATTTTGCTCACATGCATATTCGTAGCCATAAAGGTCTTACGCGCGTGCGTCATTGCAACGCATGTGCAGAATGTTTGTAGCTTTGAGGTCCGGATTATAGATCATTCCGGATTATGGGTGTCCGAATTAACGACTTTTGACTGTACTGATGCAATGAGGACGAGCATTATCATTCATTAATAGTAAATTATTACTAATTTCATCTCTAATTGGCATAAGGATAAAGAATTTTATCTCTATATGCTTAACATTCAAGTTGCACTGATAAAAATCTATAGTATAAGTCAGTGCGGCCACTCGAAATGATTCCCATCCATATCATGATTTTACTATCTTTATACTGGTGCCTTTCATTGATGTGTTCAGGCTTAGTGCATATGTTTTGCTCTCTTCAGATTATTAAGATATATGGAATTATTTTTCAAACAAAGACAAGATTGATCAGTAAAAAAACTTGGACCCAATCTGGGGTACTCCAGTCACAATGATCTCTGCATCATTGCAACCGAGCTCATGTCACAGCCCTAGTTAGTAGAATATAAATCAAGGATTTCCTTGTGCATCCTGTGTCTCGTGGTATATCTGGATGGTCAAGTTTCAGTAACTCTTGGTTGGCCTTGTTGTCTATTTCTTCTAGCAGTCACTGTCAAATAATGGTCTGTACAGTCTGGTGTAGAACATTTTTTAAAATTTAATCTTGATCCATTGTCTGCCTACATTACAGAGGCATAGGCTAGAGGGGGCCATCTGTCCTTGGGTGCAACATCCATGGGGAGCTAAACTGGTGTTACAATATTTCAGAATTAAATATATACCATTCTAAGCAAACAGGAAGGGGGTGCAAAATCTTCAGCTATCCCCGGGTGCTGAAAACCTTAGGTACAACTCTGCTACATCAACCATGTTCTCTTAACCATTTCCAAATTCTTGACATGATGTTTTTAACTGTTTTTAGAGACCTTTGCTAGTCTGTGTCCTACTTCCGTTTTCTCAGTTGCATGCTGTTTCTCAATCCATCAAATACCTTCTCAATGACATTTTCTACTTCATATGAAAATGTTATCCAACTACTTATGCAGTCCATTAAATCAGAATTTGTAGCTCTGGGGCATTCCTTTCTACATGTGCTGAAAGAATGATCATATTCTTGTGTACAAAGGTAAACCTCATTAGACTGTGTGATAATGCTGACCTTGCATTACCACTACCATTCTTTGGACTTCACTAATAGAATTAATGTAAAGCATCTTTTTATACAAGGTGGTGCACTTAAATTCTCTGGTTCTTATACATATGTATGCAAGTCATGACTACTCCATTGCTTCTGCAAAAGCCATGAAGTCATGAGGGAGATTGTGTGATATGTGTTCTAGTCAGCAGAAAATAACAATAATAGACACTTATGATGAACAGAAAGGTCAGTTTTTCATGTGCACTCTATAATGATTCTTTTAATTTTTCTTGTCAGTGTATTGTATGGATCTGAAAAATCATAGAACAGTATGAAGCTGTGGAATAAAATACCAAAATTTTCAGGGAGTCATTTTTAGGTGGTCATCTTAGATAGGTTTCACTTTGTGCAGGTTTTATCTAGTTAGCTAGTGAATGTGTATGTATGCGTACATATGTATATAATTGCCACTGAGCCACAAGCAAATCCAGGCAATACAGGATCATGTGCAGAAGGAATTACTGTAAATAATAACAGCAAGTTTCTGGTATAAAACTGAACTATCAGCTAAGTTAAGTGTAAAACTTAATTATCAGCTAAGTCATTAAGCAAGAGAAAGTTTTAACTTGATTATACTTCATTACGTGATTGGATTTGTATTTGACAAAATGGCTGAGATTCCTTCCAAAATATTTTGTATTTGGGAAGTTTGATGAAGAAATCTCATGGAAAGAGGTTGTTGTTAATGGTTTGAATTGGCTACTTAGTTCCCATAACTAGACATTTCAGAGTATAATTTGTAAGGTATTTTCTCCCTCATTCCCACATGCCTTCAGGATGTAATTGGAAGCATTTCTGGCTAACAGTCAGAGGGCCATAGTTTGAATCCCATTAAGGACACTGCTGATTTTTTATGTTCCTTCATCAATAAACCTAATGACTCTAAACCAGGCATATCAAAGTCAATATCTCAAGTGGGCCAATTAATCATCACTGCACAATAATGCAGTCCAGGAAGGGGGGACTTTCGCACTTGACGTTTACAAAAAATGAGACGCAAAATGTTAAGCAATACTGAAAATTCTTTAAAAAATAGAAGGAACATAAAGAAATCCAAGTAGAAATTGTTGGATACCTATTGCTTCTTTCCAGACACCTAGCATTTTTTTCCTGGAGCTGCTCCTGCTAGTGGTTTTCAGATGATCAGATGAATATATATTAACCTGGAACTCCCTGGATAATTGTTCCTTTTCATAACTGAGAAAAGTTTTTCTTGCTAATCTGTACTTCTGAACATGGAAATCATATACAAGACAAATTTTTGGCTTTCTGGTAATTGCACATTTGTAACATTTGGGGATACCTCCTGAATTTTTGCTTTGGAGTTGAGTTTGGGTTCGTAGTTTTTCAACACCAGTTAAAAAGGAAACAAATTTCATCTACGATTCATCTGATGCTCCAGAACCTTTCTTTGAATCCACCCTTCAAACACTGAAGCTTCTCAGTGCAAGTTTTGTATAGAAACTTGTGTTCAAATAATTTGTGTTCAAATAATTCTATCTGATCATTTATGTTTATAATAATTATATATTTTCCTTGCAGTTCAAAATTCTAATCTGTCTTGTAATATCAACCATACAAGAAAGATTTCATAATACAAAAGATTGGTCTGTAAACGGATGTGTTGTCTGATTTGCAAAAGATTCGAAGTTCATCTCTTAAGTTCAAGAGCTATGGAACAGGATAGCTGAAGCACTTCTGTATAACTGAGAAGCCCAGAATATTTTTTTTAAAAATCTCCTAAGAAAGCTGAAACTTGTCACTGGCCATGCGATCTTATGAAGCTGA